GCTGACATACCGCCCGTCCGATCCCACTGCCTCCTCCTGGGAGGGAAAAGAGTAGCATGAAGTTACCAGAGTGACAGAATGTTTTAAACACAACGCTGCAGAGGAAAGACTGAGTGTGACAGAAGATCCACTCTGGAAGTATCTGAAAAAACAAATATCAATCAAGGACGACAAGAAAACACACAGGACAGGAAGCTGACTTGATGTGATTGATTTTCAGTTTGATTAGCCCAACAGTTCAGGGCTACATGACCAATTGTTATTCACAAATCATCTGCGCCCAATCACATTTCTTTCTTTCTTCTGTCTTCAAAAACCTTGAGTCCACTTTTCTATGTGAAAATGTAAGAGGACAAGTGATGCTTCATCATTCATAATACAGCTTTAATGTTTATTCCATCAGTCAAAGAAGACAATTAATAAGCCACAATTCTCATAATACATGTATCCTTTCAGTCACTCACTGTATCCACACTGTATTGCATTTTTTACAGTTTTGAACCTTAAGTCGGACAAAACCAGACATTTAAAGATTTAAACTCTGAGGCATTTAAACATGTTTCCTTTTTCAGTATTTTCACAATTCAACGGCAGATCATTTCATTCTGAAATGGTTGCAGGTCTTATTGATAGCATACACACAGCCAGAATGACAGCTACACTTTCACCTTCACTCTCATTTCAAGTCATCAAACTTAATTCAGTCCGATCTGCTCGAGGTACTGATTTAGAAATCACTGATAGAATCACGGTTACACTAAAATAATGAATTCATTGTCAGCTTACTTTGGAGATCAAACTTTTTGATATCAGAAGCTACTTGCAGTAGGTAGCTGCTTTGATTTGGTGAATTGAAGAAGATTGCAGAAAAACACACGGCTTTGAACGCAACATCTTGAAAAGGGAAAAGGGCATGTCCTTAAACGTCTCACTTCACACAACACCATGTATCTTACAACATATATTTACCAGTGACCAGCGTCAACCTTGATATCAGCCGTGTGGCAGCCGTCATACTCCCATCATGTTTCCCCCCCTTATGTTGTTGTAGCTTTCGGGTTGTCCACTAGATGGCGCCCAGTGATGAAAAATGTTACGTGTTCCGGTTCCGGTTGATGACGAGCCCAGCAGAGTTTAACTAAAAGCTAAGGAGGCGAGGAGGGAATCATCTATTACAATGCTTTGTCATTTTATTCATCAAACTGACCATAGATTACAGTCACAGTATGAACAGGATGGAATATCCCTCCGTTTTAATACAAGGTTTATTTTGAAAGGGTTTAACGGAAGTATCTCTTCGCTACGTGTATCTAACTTGACTCTGCGGGTGTAGTTCTTCATTGAGGCCACTAGATGGCGCACGATACTGAATACGCCAATGTAGAACAAGAAACACATTTAAAAACAGCTACACGGACAGAATACATGATGTTGATTCAAATGAACATTAAATACATTTTTATCTTGGACAACAGATATTTTATAACTTAATTGGCCATAGATTAAAGCGTTGTGTTGTTCACTCCGTCAAACATTACCTTCATAAAGTGCAGCTAGCGTTAACAAGAGGGAGCTGTAAGGCGATGTGATAATGTTCCTTTACAAACTTTCACTGTTTGATAGAAGAAAAAGATTAAAGTCTTTTGTTATAATTCGGTAAAGTTAATTAATCAGCATGAACAACGGCTTCCTAGTTTTGGTGAATTGTTCAGGAGGACACAAACTTTCCTGTGAGCTTTGCATAGATGTTTAGAATTAGCGGCAGAAACTTTGTTGATCAAGAGGGAGATAAAATGCCTCAACCTCCATTAATTTGAGGTAAAAGTATGAAATGATGTATTCCTCTTCCTCGATAGTCTTGTTCTTGTTTCTAGCTTGAGGAGGTTATTCTTAACAGAGTTGATAAAAGTATAACCGTGAGTACACACTGCCCCCCTGTGGTCAAAGTGCAAAACTTTTATTTTGATAGTGATAGTCGGAAGTTGTTCTTTGTATAAACATCTACCTTGACAGATTGATGACGCAGTAAATCATTGTGTCATACATAGCGTAATTATAATATAAATAAAGCACATATGGCATTATCATTAACAAAGCAAACAGTGTTTGTACTTAAGCTGTGAGTATTTGGATTTATTTAACTATTGAGGACAATTATCCTTAAACAATCTTTAACAAGAGCTTTGAATTAACTGTAAAAGTTCTCTGTTTTTACTGTCTGTGATCATCAACACGTCATGTATGAAAGAATTGAGTTGACTGAGAGAGGGTCAAATATTTAATAATAATAATTTGGGGAAAGTATACATTGTATTTCTGGATCAGGGATAGTATAAGCTCATTTATTTATTACAATAAAAAATGTATCAGATAATCAGGCCTCTGTGAACATACGATCACACACTAAAAATATATGTATTTATTTTACATGTGATCACACAAGATTCAAAAATAATAATAATAATGTTATAATAATAATAATAACATCTATATATAGGACAATTTTTAAAATCAAGCTACAAAGTGTTTTACAAGGACAGCAATAATAAAACAAACGGAAAACAGTCTAGACATAAAATCATAAGTAAAGGCAAACAATTATAAATAACAAACATTTTACATAACATTCATTTAAAAGATCTTTAAAAGAAGCAAAAAAATATACATTTTGAAGGAATTTTTAATGTAAACTAAAATGACGTGAGGAAGGGCTCGCTGTTTAAAATATGTCTTAGGAGGGGGTTATAATGAAAAAGAGATTAACTGACTGATTATCTCACATGATCTCCTTCTCTCTACTTTCCCTATGATTTTATTTTAACAGCGATGACCGGAAGTAGTACAATGTAATTTATTTTGACTTGACAGTATTGATGCTGTAGTTACTCACTGTGACCACTAGAGGTCATAAATAATGTGCTTCTCATTTATTTACCGTTCAATCGTCGGCTACCCATGTTAGTGACTTCTCAAGTTAACTAAGGAAGCTTTGATGATTTCACATTAATTATGGGATACCTTCAGTTGTTTCTAAAGTCCTACGACATCCTTGTGTTTACATCGAATCACAATTTATCTACAAAGTTCCAGTAGGCCTACTTGTAGTTTTGCTAGCTAGAGAGCTAATTGTTGATGACATCTTGTCCGACACAGATTTGATTTGTTTGGATAAAAAAATACAATCAATGTTTTTAGTACGAGCAGAAAAGTGAAGATTGACTGGTTATGTTCCAACGAATGTGAACTTAAATAACTCGGATTGTTTTTTTGTTAACATAACGATCATAAGCGCATCTTAAAAATGTTTTATTTTGACGACAGGGACCGGAAGTAACACACTGTGATTTCATCTGACTTGATAGTAGTAATGTTGTAGTTACTGACTGTGACCACTAGAGGGCATAAACAACATGATTCTAATAGAAATACTGTACAACAAAGATGAATAAGGTGGATTGAAGTAACAAACCTGTGGCATTGCTACATTAATATTTGATATCTTTAGTAGTTTAAAATTCAAAGGATATCTGTGGTTTACAAACAATGATGGATATAAATTATAGAAGCTTAGTCCAATACATCAGCAGGAGTAACTTGGGGTTAAGTGTCTTACCCAAGGACACATTGCACATGTGGCTGCAGGAGCTGGGGATTGAACCCCCGACCTTCCTGTTGGGAGACAACCGACTCTACCACTGAGCCACAGCCGCCCAAATAAAACAAAGTGCAGAAACTAACTTACATTACTGACGTCATCAAAGGATCAACGTCAGAGTCAGAAACAAGTCTGTATAAATCTAGAGATATACTACGTTTTTATTTTGTGTTTATACGTTTATTTAATTAATCGACCAAACAACACAATTAAATACCCCCCCCCCCCCGATATTAAATCTGTGTTTGTTAACTTCTTCCATCGTGACTCAAAGACGTTTCCTAAATTCCTTCTCCTAAGAGTTATTCTCTCCATATTATAATCGTCATTAATTGTTTCTTTCCATTTCATTATTTGTGGTGGACTTTTCAGACAGTTTTTAGTGTTCTGTTTAATTTCTGTTATTCTTACAGTCCTATACAGGTATTTATCTGAAGTGAGGGACAGTGCATGGGGGGGGGGGGACTTCCCATAAGTAGGTGTTGTGGACTAAAGGAAAGATTACATTTAAAGATCTGATTTATTTCCTGTTTTACTGAGCAGTATTGAAATCTAGAGATATGTTAAGTTTCAAGGCCTCACATATCATCTATTGCTCACTTATTTTTCCTCACATTAGTTTGTAAGATACATCTCTAGGATGAGCTGGGATGCATCATTAGTGACGTTCCTGAGGTCATTTGGGGTTTCAGGTCTTTCAACATCAGACCCCCTCCCCCCAGGTGACCCATCCAGGGTTGATCAAGTCCAGCATTGCATCCCAGCAGCAGCAATCGACGGGCTCGCCCTCTTTATCCAAAGCCACCGAGTGGCCCTACTCTTCACAGTTCCTGTTACACCAAGACCTGCCAGAGCTTTGCAGATAGAGCGCCCAGCAAACCCCCGACAGCCCACTTCAATCGGCTCACAAAGAGCCCGCCAGCCTCGCCCTCTCTACACTGCTCCACCAGCTCCCGGTATTTGGCCAGCTTCCTCTCGTAAGCCTCCTCCATGTGATCTTCCCAGGGCACAGTCAGCTCCCAAATCATCTGATGGTGGAATCTGAGAAGATGGTCGAGTCTGTACGGAGTCATATCTTATTCTTACACTTAATTCCTCCTTGGTTTTATTTTATTGTTTCTCCCCTCATCCCGTTGAACGTAACAATAAAATACAAATCATCTGAATGAAAAACCCAAACTACCTCACCTCAGATGAAATGAAGAAAAGACAATCAGTCAGTCATGGGTCCTTAGTCATCTTAACTTTTCTCTGTCTCAGAGCTCGTTCATTATTAACTGCTTCCATACAGTCCAGTTCTCTGTTTGCCACCAGTGGAGTTGCCCCCTGCTGGTCATTAGAAAGAATGCAGGTTCAAGTTACTCCCGTGATTGGCTTCACTTTTGAAATGCAGAGGTTACGTTCACTTCTTATATACAGTCTGCAATAAACTCAGGTGTTGATCAGCAGTGAGAATCAAATCAAATCAAGTTTATTTGTATTGCACATTTAAAAACAGCTTCACCTGACCAAAGTGCTTTACAGGCAATGTGTAAAAGCAAGAAAGAAAAATAAAAACATTAATCTATACATGTGCACATACATACATATATAAACACATATACATATACATAATACACACACACAAATATATATATATGCACATACATATATACATGTAGTATACATACATATCACAAACACATACACTCATACCTACATGCACATGCATACATACAGATACATACCTAAGCTCAATATATGGGGTCTGTTTCAACTTGTTTTAAATGCCAGGGAAAAGAGGTGAGTTTTGAGTTTTGATTTGAATGGATTTAAAGAGTTGATTTGTCTGATGGAGGGAGGCAGTTGATTCCACAGACGGGGGCCAGCCACTCAGAAGGCACGGTCACCTCTGAGTTTTCGTTGAGCTCGAGGGACTACAAGGAGCGACTGTTCAGAGGACCTAAGTGGGCGTGATGGGGTGTAGGGGGTTACAAGTTCTGTTAGATACGGGGGGGCTAGACCATGCAGTGACTTATATAGAATTTTAAAATGGACTCTAAGATCTACAGGGAGCCAGTGAAGGGAGGCGAGTACAGGGGTGATGTGCTCTTGCTTGTGTGTACCTGTTAAAAATCTTGCAGCAGCGTTCTGGACGTACTGTAGCTGTGAGAGGGAGGACTGACTGACTCCCATATAGAGGGAGTTGCAGTAGTCAAGGCGGGACGTAATAAAAGCATGAATAAGCTTTTCTGAATCTTGGAAGGATAAAAAAGGTTTCTGAATCTTGGAAGGATAAAAAAGTTTTACTTAGTAGTAAGGACCGGAGTTGGAAAAAGCAGCCTTTAAAACTGAGTTGATTTGTGTGTCGAATTTAAGGTTGAATCAAAGGTTACGCCAAGATTTTTGCATATGTTTCACAAAGAACAGTGGGCAAAGTTTTTTACAGATCAAGTTTGGTGGACTCCGGGGGCCGAACAGAAGTACCTCGGTTTTTTGTTCATTTAGTTTAAAGAAGTTTAGTGCCATCCAGTCTTTGATTTCTTTGAAGCATTGAGTAGTGGTTGCAGGGAGTGTGGATTAGTGTTTTGAGCGGGAGATTAATTGTGTGTCATCCGCAAAGCAGTGGAAGGATAGACCGTGTTTCCTTTATAAGGGCAGCATGTATAAGGAAAATAAAAGAGCGATAGGACTGAGCCCTGAGTACCCCACAGGTGAGGGTGGCCGAGGGGGAACGGTATTTCTAAGGCATACTTTGAACCTTCTGTTTTCCAGGTAGGATTTGAACATATTTAGGGCTTGCCCCTGGATCCCAACCCAGTCCTTTAATCTGGTGATTAGTAGGCTGTGGTCAACCGTGATCTCAAAGTATTAAAATTGCACTGTCCCCGTTATCTACTGCTAAAAACAAATCATTAAGAACTTTTAAAAGAGCTGTTTCAGTGCTATGGTTTTCTCTAAAACCAGAGTGGAGTGCTTTGAATACTTGGTTATTGCTTAAAATGGGTTGATTTTTGTAGATGACCTTTTCCAGGATTTTGGATAGAAATGGGAGTTTGGAGATTGGTCTAAAATTTGATAAAATGTTAGGATCTAGGTTAGGTTTTTTCAGAAGAGGCTGAACCATCGCATGTTTAAAGTCGGTTGGGAAGCATCCTGTGGAGAGCAGTTGTTGATGATGGAGAGGATGCTGGGCCAATAGTGCTAAATGTTTCTTTCAGTAGGCGAGGGGAATACAATCGGACGGGCATGTTGTGGCTTCAAGTGAAGGATTATTTCTCGCAGAGAGGAGAGAGATATTGGATCAAATCGATTAAAAACCTGCACAGCTGAGGAGGGTCAGGATGTGATGCAGAAGATGGTGAAATTCCT